TGGGACTCTATTTTCAAGGTCAGTCAAAAAGAGCCTACCTACAAAAAAATTTTGTTTAAAAAATGCTCATCCTACCTAAATTGTCTAATTTACCTGCTAGAGAAGGCATTATTTCTCTTTTTCCTCTTCATCACCCCCATCCTGATCTGTCCACTGCCACCCTCAATCACTCTGATGTATCCCTCCCACCAGCATCCTTTTCCTACTGGGCACCCCACTGTTTTATCATTCTGTCTTTTTTTTTTTCCATCCGGAGCTTGGCAATCTCACGAATAGCTGTTGAGTAGAAGGCAGAAAAACAAAGGGGTGCAGCATGGGGTGGAGTAAAGGAGGGGAGCTGGGCAATAACACAGGTGGCGAATGGAGAGAGGGGGGTAGGATGGGCACTCAAGTATGGGTTTGTGCTAACAGGGTGGTGGGTAGGATGAGGAAGATTAGTTGAGTAACGGAGATGAGTAATTTTAGATTATCAAATAAAAAGAGGTCTTTTTGCGTAAAACTAGAAAATGAGGCCTTTTCATTAATTATCTCCACCTCATCCTTATGGACAATTTCCTCATATTTATATCTTGACAAATTACCTTCCTAAATTTTCTCAACTGGTACTTGTTGACTAAAGTCAAGTGGCAATAGTTCTACTTGCTGAATTATGCACCATCAGCAATAGCAATGTTGCAGAACCTGCCAGCCTCTGGAGGCAGTTTTGTATTGCATAGCTGGAATTGACACCAAAAAGGATTTGTTTACAATTGGGGTCATATGCCAATCTCTTCTGACAATTACCAACTTCCAAGCCTGCCAATAGGGATTCTTTCGGTTTCTGTTTGACAATGTTAAAGATTTAAATATAAATAAACAAGTCATTCCCTCTATGACAGTTTGCACTTTTAAAAAGATGGTTGATCATTAAATTCCTTAACGTAACTTATCTCACGAGACAAATTGATGTAGGGAGATGCAACCACTTTACCCACAAGCTGCAACTGCTTGGGGGAGGTGTAATCCATCCTATATAACCCAGAATTAGGCCCTAGAATCCACCCTAAGTCCACTCCGTTTGGGCCTCATGTCAAAGGAGGCCTTACGAAGGCGCTATTGGGTCAATTCCAAATAGCAACAACATGCCCACCTCCATTTTAAGCATGCTCCAGCATTATACACCACTCCATGGAAATGCTCCGGCATTGACTCAAACATAGGACCTCCAGCTCTAAGCTCTAGTAATAACTGGTGTAGGGAGATGCAACCACGTTGTCCAGAAGCTATAGCTCATTGACAAAGTGGTTGCATCTCCCCCTACCTCACAAATTAAGATCTGATGGAAACAAAATTTGAGACGTATTTTTCATCTAACCAAAGGCAAGTCATTAAGTCAAGTTAATAGAACTAGGGAGACAATTACTGTGCTTCAAAAACTATTTTTTCCCCAAAAACAGAACCATATGGAAGGGATATGCATCAACACCAACTATTTTAGTAACAAGGTTTATATGCATCTACCTGCATGTCTGAGGTCCAAAGAGTGAGATTGTCCCTCAGAAGCTGCATGATAAGAGTGCTATCCTTGTATGATTCCTCACCCAATGTGTCCAGCTCAGCAATAGCTTCCTCAAATGCCTTCATACAAAAGAAGAAAATATAAAATCCAACACATCATCTTGTTTCCAGTGCCAAAGGAGTCTCCTGCAATAACAGTGCATGCATGATATGCAAAGATGACCTCAATAATACTGTGTGTTTATTATCCCCAGATCGAGGCATAGTTCTAGAACATACAGGAGGAACATGGCTGTATATGGTCAAAGGTATTAAATTTAGTCGTTTCAGAGGTAGTTTATGCGTTTTACACCATTCAAGCTAGTTGATCCACCAGAGATGCAGTAATATGGAAGATATCCCCAATCCATTCTCTAGAAAATTCATATGCTCCTTAATGTGAGATCGCTCCAGTTCTCTTATTTAGTCAAAGCATTTTGATGAACTTGATTTCATATAAAAACAAAGAAAAAGGTTGAATAATTATTTAATTAGAATATCAAAATAACTACACCCAATTCAATTGTATGGTAAATGAGAGAAAATGGTCTCTTAAGCCCTGGTTTGTTTTAGATAAAAAACAATTTGCAGCCCCAGTTTAGGCTCATTCTTTAAAAACACATTTTCAACCACACGTTATCCCAATAAATAATTTTACATGTAAATCCCCGACTTTTTCATACTTTCTAACCACAACATTCTCTTCCCCCCCAACCCAAAAATAAATAAATAAATAAATAAATAAAATCACAAAATCTATTTTTCCAAAAAATGGGCTCAAACAAACCCTTAATAGATCTATAAACTTCAATGGAAATCTGTGGTTCAAAAGTGGGTCCATGAATGTATATCTAAAATTAACTTTTTGAATGCGATTTTAATCACCTTTTTAGCTTAACCAAAAAGAGACTAACACTATTTCTGTTCAACTTTGCACCTCCCTATGTATCGCCTTTTTCTTTGCAGTTGTACAGATCACTAAACAACAAACGTAAAGAATGATAGAAATCCATTGTAGGCAAGAACAAATGAACAACCTACCTGTTTGGCCATGCTGCAAGCCTTCTCTGATGAATTTAGAATTTCATAGTAGAAAACAGAAAAGTTCAGGGCCAAACCCAGTCGTATGGGATGCGTGGGAGCAAGATCCGCAAGTGCAATGTCCTGTTTACCAGATGAATACATGAATAAATAGTTGATCACCCTTCGTAATTAAGATTTCAATCAAGAGAAACACACTATGGCTTTAAATCTCTAAACAATTCAACCATTAAACAACAAAACATTACAGCCTTCAAATATAGAAGTATAAATCTCGTTTACAGAAAAGAGAAAATGAGAAGTGGTGCAGGAGAAGCATAAAGAAAGATGACACTTGTTCAACTCTTCCATATTGCACAAATGCCAAGGAAAAGACTGGAGAAAAAGGTGGAACTCTCCAAACATTTATAATAAGCACTTGTTTGAGCCACATTATTTTCATAAAAATGCATTTTTGAATAGTTTGTTGATAAAAATTGTGTGATTAAAAAATAAGAAAAAGTTTTAAGTTTACGTATAATATTATTTTATTGAATAATGTGTGGTTGAAATGATGTCAAATCATTGCGTAAGAATGTATTTTTTGAAAGAATGAAGGTCAAACAGGTACTAAATTTTATTAAATTTCAGAAGTTGCTCATATACTCCATGAACATTGATTTAACTAGGAGAAAATTAAAATATGCGAAAAGACAAGAACCAATCAACTAAAACAAGCAGAATAAATCAATCCAAACATATTTAATAAATCATGCCGCATCATTCTCTTTGGGTTGGAGAAGATTCATCATCTCTCCCCCGACATTTCGTAAGTGTAATTTATCCCCTGTTTGAGTATCATTATATAAAGCTCATTTTTTCCATACTCATTTTCAACCACAAATTCTCTCAATAAAATAATTTTACACGTAAATTTAAAATTTTTCTTACTTTTTTTAACTATAAACTCTCCAAAAAAATCACTATTACAAAATCCATTCTCCCAAAAAATAAGCTCAAACAAACCCTTAATTCATAAGTCAATGCAGAAAAAATAAAGGTGAAATGGCACAACCACCATGGGATTTGCTAAAATTGCCTTCCCAAGTAAAACAAATACCATTCCATGATCTTCCTTCCAATAATGCTCACCATCTGCTACGCAGCATAAGGACAAGCCAAAATCTGTAGAATACCAAAACACACCACTCTCTGTCAGCACATCGCATTCCCCACCAAAATCCATCATATCATAAATCCCAGAAGAATTGTGCTCATAATTGCCATTAGCAATGATATAAAGCCCAATTACAATGTAATCCACCTGTGATGTAAATTGAATGCATTGTGAGGTGTAGCCATTTGCATATGTGATACCTTCAATGTGAAAAATGATGTCAATGTTCTTCGAATTTGTTTTAATTTGGTCATTGGCATTCAGTGAGCCTTGTTGATAATCACTGTACACATTTGATTCATCACGCTCTGATTCTTTACATTTAGATTAGCTTTGTGGTTCTCGTTCCGTGCCTTGATGTAGTGGACGACACTCATTTTTCCAGCATTAGATGATTCCAAATCATCAAAATGAGTACGAATGACAAGCTCGCTTGAGCACCGACTCTTCTCCTTGAAGTTAAACAATGAAAATACAAATGATTTCCCACTTTTGTGATTCCCAAAAGGGGAGCAAGGAGACCTATCCCCTAATAACTTGAACAACTCATTTGGGGATATATGCATCGGGCTCCTCATTGGAAAGATTTCTCTCTCTCTCTCTTCATAAAAAATCTGTAGACCATCATTGTTCTCATCCGAATTGAATCCACCCCACAGCTCACATTGAGGGGAACAAATGGATCTTTGTCGACCTCCGTCACACTATTCGATGAAATCTCCACCCTTGTGTCCCTTGTGGCATCAAACTAACTTATCACGCTTAGTGCGCAACAGCATGATCGCCTGCTGCATCAACAAACCAATCTGATTAACGGATGTAGGTGATGCGCATCATGTATTTGTGCACAGTCTCTCCTCTAAAAAGGCATCGTGGATGAATGGTCATACCCTCGGCGCCATTGCTAAGACCGTAGGCCCGTTCTAATATCAGCTAAAGTAGGGAAGCGTAAACGAACAAGCGATCAACTATTTGTTGATAACGCAAAATGCCAAGAGAAGACGAAGAAAGAGATGAAACTATCCAAACTATTATTATAAAAGGAAGTTTGGTGGGGGATTAAAATTAGATTTTTTAGTAGATTGTGATAGAAATTTTTGATATCTTTCATTGTAAGAATTTTCTATTAATATAGAGCATCCCATGAAACATATGGTTAATATTGATTGTTTGACTTTAACTTAAATTAAAATCGGATTTTAGTCCAAACTAAACAACCTCTAAATCTTGTTAGATTTCGAAAAAATTCATTGAACAATGAATTAAATAGAACAAAATTAAAATATTTGAAAAGACCACAAGCTTTAATTGGTGAATAAATCAATCCAAACCAAGAAGTCTAGTGGTAGAGAGAGAGAAAAAATTATGCCCATAATCTGTTCCACAAGTCCTCGACTAGAAAATTCGAATGTTTTCTAAAGATTAAAAAACCCAAATTGCCCAAGTGTTTAAATCTCAAAATTGAAACTTACCCCAGATTTTACTCCCAACGTAACATCAAAAAAATAAACTAAACATTACAACATAATACATATAATAGTCTAACAATAAGAAAAAAATATAAATAGTAAATCGATGACAGATGTCAATATACACATACAAACGGTACGGGCATAGATCCAGTCTTCCCTAAATAATTGCCTAAAACAGGCCCCCCAAAAAATGGAATCGCATTCATGCCAATAATAGAAAGAAAAAACTCAGTGTAAACATACAAGTATAAAAATATTTGATTCACCTGAGCAGCCTTGTAAGCAAGCATAGTATCGTCAGCAGCCTCCTTGCGCTCGTTCCCAGTCTTAAACTCAGCCAAGTACCTATAATAATCCCCCTTCATCTTCAGGTAAAATACCTTGGACTCACTCGAAGCAGCAGATGGGATCAGGTAGTCATTCAGAATTTTCAAAATCCCAGCACAAACATCAGACAGCTCGCTCTCGACCTTAGATCTGTAGTCTTTGACAAGAGCAACGTGGTCGTCATTCTTGCGCCCCTCCTCTTTCTGTTCAATCGAAGACACTATGCGCCACGCGGCTCGGAGCGAGCCGATTACGTTCTTGTAAGCCACCGATAGGAGGTTGCGCTCCTCTACAGTGAGCTCGGAACCGGCAGCGCTGACAACCAGCTTGTCCATGAATTGGACCATCTCCTCATAGCGCTCGGCTTGCTCGGCTAGCTTGGCCATGTATAGGTACTGTTCCCGGGTCAAAGCCATCGGAAAAACCTGCGACTAGCGAAAATTAAGAGAAATACGAGACTTTGGGTTTTTTTGGGGAAATGAGTTGTCATTGTTTTTGCCAAGCATATTTCATTAGGGGAAGATATCACTAGAGGTCCGTAACTTTATATAAGTTAGCACTTGAGTCCCAAATTAGTTTATCTTAGCATATAGGTCCTTTCAAATTAATTACGTCCAAATAATTTGTTAATTAAGTATATTTATCAGACTGTTATATCATTATTTTTATGAGTATAATAGATAATTCAAAATTAACCCACAAACTCTTAAAACCATGGTTTGTATAGAGAAGTACTAGATATGAATATTCATTTTCTTTGGGACTTCATGAAAAATATCATCTAGTTTTGCATTTGGCCTTTCTTGATAAGTTATTTCCTTTTAATAGGAAGGTGTAAATATTAAATGAATACCTTTTAAAAATGTGTATTTGAGCATTTGGTACTGGAATAGGGTAAATTCCATAAGTGGGCCCTAATCTTTTATGAGTGTGGCACCACTCATGCTTTCCATCCCAAATTTATTTATTTTACTACATAAATATATATTTTTTAAAATTTAAATCACATTTAAAGAATATAAAAAATTAAGATAAATAAATAATTAAAATTGGATGGTTAATGGAGAATTTTTTAACCCCCACCCCTTCTTCCTATATATGTTGCATTATGTCTCTTATAACCTTTTTAAAATTGTGACCTTCAATTAACGATAATATATTTTTTAAAATATTAAATCACCATCATACCATGTGATATTGAACTGAAAATGTTAAATATCCAAAAATATTTTATTTATCCAAATTGATCTAAATAATGACTTTAACTTCCATTCAAAAATCCTAACACGCGTTTATTCGGTAAAGCTTTTGTTTATTAAAAGTTTGACAAAATTTCATTTTTAACTATGTCAAATTTTAACAATGTCACACGACTCCTATGATAAAACTCATTCGGTGCTCATTTACTTAAAATATATCCATGGTATTGATATCTCATAAGCTTTAGGTGGCCATTTACCAATCAAATCAACGCTTTTTTGTTTAATTGAGGACATAGAAGCTACAGCTTTTAAAGACTGGATAAATTACAACAAATGATAAGTGAGAGACGTGAATGCCGTATTTTTGAAAGATTAAGGACCTATTTCACTTAAAATGTAAGCTTAGCCAAACATGCTCTTAAGAGTTAAACCTAGCCGCCTGGCTTTATCTTTCTCCTGTACGTATATATGTTATGGAACCCTAATCCTCGGAGTGCGGTTCAATAGTGAATGGAAAAATGCAGCTGCTCACATCTCAAACAATCCCTTACACCAACAAAGGTTATCCCCTCCAAACCATCCTCCCTCCAATGCAAAGGCAAACCCACTCAATTTCAGTCAGGTAATTCTTGTCTCCTCTTTCTTTTCTACTGTAATTAGATTATATCATTCCAAAAACGGCACGATTAAGATAAAACGTTTCTGATTTCTGGGTAGTTTTTAACCAATTTCAGTTATTTAGATTGGTTTGTGAGTGCTTTATTCCTTCTTCCTTGGTTTATCTATGTATGTAGTATTTAGTACATCATTAGGCAGAGCTGATGGGCAGAATAACGAATGCCCGCAGCTGACGTGGAAACATAACATCAACAGTCAAGCCATTTGTTTTGATTAGTAAAAAAAAAAAAAAAAGAAGTTCGACCCGCTGAAGTGGCAACGTCATATGAGGTGGGCAAAATACATCTGCCCAAAGAGGGGACAGGAGATCAAACAAAATTAATAAGTTTGCTTATTAAATTCTTTATTAATATCATAAAAACGCTGGCTCGAGTGTCTGCATTACACCTCGCCGGCATGCTTTTCTATCCTCGGAATTGTTCTTTCAAGACTGTTGGCACTAGACAGATTTTGACCGCAAAGGTTGGGATGCGAACATCCTGTAAATGTTTAACATCTACTGCCAATAATAGGCGAAAATGGGCACTTTTACCAGTTTGGTGACTAAGCTTTGCACATGTGTGAAAATGGGCCAGGCAGTCACTATTTCTATGCGTAAAGTAAATTGGGTGAGGGAGAGAGGGTTGTTGCTCTTGTGGAACATCATCTCCTCTAGTGATATCTCTAAAGGAGGAGCTTCAATCTATCGCTCTCTCTATATTGATGATGTTTCCTCAGGACATACTCCCCTCTTTGTCAGTTGTCACCTGGCTGAGGCTTGGTGATTAAACTGATTTTCCATGTCTATTCCGTCTTCCCCATCAGCTGCCTTATCTTATTCCTCCATGGTATATTATATATGATATATTAGTGTATGGAATTATATAAGCACTTGAATGTTAGGTTGCACTTTGCAGTGTTGTTTTGTTGGTTTGACATCTATAGTTTTCACGGGAGGGATTTAGTACATCATATCGAGGAGGTAGTGCAGTTGAAAATTGGTTGCTATGATGAGATACAGAATTTGTGGAAAGCTCATTGTGCTTGATGTAATATCGACAGTCGCTGTCGATTCTGAGCGGTTACCTGAGCGACCTGCAGTTTTTAAAATTCTCTGTGTTCCAGTATTCTGTAGTGGAAGTTAATGGGTAGAGATTAGGATAATTTACTTCTATTCCAATATCTAAACACCCATTTATGTTATAACGCTTCTGTAATTTCCTGCATCATAATATTCTTCACTGTTAACTGCCAGAGTTTCCCGATGGGCATCTTCATGTCAATTTCAAGTTATTTGGCATTGCTTGCTACTTTTTTAACTCATTTCTCTTTATCTGATACTTCATTGTCTTTTTAATTTCATGTTTTGTGTCATATATTTTTATAGTTTATACTAAATAAGCAAGGCTGCCATGATGAACATTTCAACACATTGAAAGCTTAATAATGCTTGATGGAACATCGACTATCATGTCGATCCTGAGCGGTTACCTGAGCAACCTCATAGTATTAGATGAATTCTGTATATCCTCTTCCCATATTCTATTCCTCGTATCTTCACATTTCATAATCTTTTTATTGCTACTGCATGTTAATGCTAACGCTTTTCAACCATGCTTCCTCATTTCATCGAAATTTCTTTACAAGTTTATGGGAGCAGACATATAGTTGCAAGAGCTGCCCCGTGTGAAGCAGTTCATTTTTCAAGTCCTCTTCATGCTGCTTTGAACTGTATGAACTTTTCCCTATTTGTGTTCATTTTTGTCGTTTGACACTTCTCTTTTAAATGCATTGATTTCACTTCAGTTACAAGGATGAACTGACTATTTGATTGTGGATATTTGATATAAATCTTTCCAGACTAGTACCTGTCATCTTGCACACGATCATTTGAAAGAGAAATAATGCTTTTTAAGTCAAGAAGTACCCATGTGCTATTTGAGTTGAACCCTGCTTGGTGTACGGGGATTTTTTACCAGGTTTACAGATACACATTTGGCTAATTCTCATTGGAAGAAAGGACTGCCAATACAGGGCTGCCATTTATAAACTGTATTCTGGCAATTTGCACTGTGCAAGGGGCAAAATCCATTTCTGTTCTCCCCTTTCATTTAAATGCCCAATTAAGAGGGGATGTGGGAACAGATCAGTGAATTCTGGCAATATTGTGACTTACCTAGTATGTCTTAGCAGTAGGTGGTACGGGAAGCATTCTTGATGTGTTTGAAATATTGAGAGAATCGACCACCTTAGTCTCCACAAACGGGATCAAGCTGTTTATTAATTGAATTTTGACGTTGAAAATTAAATGCCCTATAACGTATTTTCCAACGAAAAGAAATGAAAAACAAGGATCGATCCCACATTCGCAAGTGGAATGACTTGAATTTAGCCTCCCTTAAGCCGTACAGGCATAACATTGATTATGTACTATTCAATATTCTATTGATTTGCTTTCTTTTGCAATGATTCCTTTTCGGTCGCAAACTGGCTGGCATTTTTACGAGTAGTCCGCTTCCCATCACTCGATAGGGCAATTTCTCACACATAATTAATAGATTTTGAGACCGTGCCATTTGTTAAATTATTGCTGGAAAAAAAATGCTGCAAATTGTTAAATGTAGGTACTGAGATTTCCTTTTTCTCTGAAGTAATGTTATTTGGAGGATATGTTTATTGCTGGAAAAAAAATGCTGCAAATTGTTAAATGTAGGTACTGAGAGTTCCTTTTTCTCTGAAGTAATGTTATTTGGAGGATATGTTTACTGGTTAGCGATGATGTGGTATTAATTGATTTGTGATCTTAAGCCCTCGTTTGGCTTCCATTATTTACCATTTTAATTTTTGGAATAGTATTTATTATTATTTTTTGGAGAATGTATGGTTGAAAGGGGGGGGGGAAATTTTTTTGGTTTATGTGTAATATTATTCTATTAGATAATGTGTGGTTGATAAGAAGAGAGAGAAAAATGAATTATAAGTTTAATGGGCCAAACAAGGGTTAAATCTTACATTTAAGATGATAAATTAATTAAAATTATTTAAATATTAAAACAATGATAATGGGTCGTGTTGATGAATTCCCTTATTATTTCCTAATTACTGTTTGTGAAACCCAACACAATCCCAATGTGGGGTGCCTATTGACCCATTGGTCTAGTCGTCTGCTGTTGTGCTTATTTTTATTTTTTTAGCCCAACTTACTTTAAAAAACACTAACTCGATAAAAATCAAACATGTTTGATCATTAATGAGAGCATGATCTTCACTTGTTTTTGTCCGTAAAGACAGACGGTTGTACTTTATTAAGTCCAACTTACTTTAAGAATCATATCAAATCAAACATTATGAATGTGAGTAAATTACTTTTAAGTGAAGATGTACTTGTTTTTAACCATAATACTTATTTTAGAGGGTGTTTGGGAGTTATTTTTATGTAAAAATGCATTTTGAAATAGTAAATTGGTGGGAAATATGTGATTGAAAAATAAAGAAAAGTTTTTTTATTTACGTTTAATATTATTTTAATGAAGAATGTGTTGTTGAAAAGAAGATAGAGAAAAATGCATTTTGAAAAAAATGGATACCAAATGGGGCCTTAGTGTTAAAATAAATTACCTGAATTTGACTCTCAATTAAAAAAAATAAAAAATGGAAGAGTTATTTTCAAACATATTTTAGGATATTAGTTCTACTCATTTTAACAGTAAAATTACTTATAAAATAATTTTCTCATTCAATTTAACTTTGACAAAAAAATTACTTTTTAATAATCACGGTCTAAGTAACTCAATTTCAACTTCAAGTAGAAAAGATTTGCTTTATAATTTTACATGGAAAGATCTACATATCAATTTATAAATAATTTTCTCAAGTTCAACTAATAGATTTGGTGTTTATATTTGACCAAAATATACGTACTCGAAAGTTGTAATGTAAATGCTATTCTTTAGTGCGTGATGGTTAAGCATAGCGACTTAATTAAATCACTGATATCTAGGTTCGATTATTACTTTTTCACCCAAGAATAAAAACTAATTAGGTGCTTAGTCGTTCTAAAAAAAAAATGTTCTAAAAAAAAAATGTCATTGGCTCTGATTGTGTAGCGCAACTGTATTTTAATTCCATTTGTCCCCTTGGACAAAAAAATTACACATAATGTATAAAAATTCTACGTGGTTGTTGAAAATTGACACATGAACAAAAACCTTCTCATTATTTTATACACTCCAATGCTGTGTTGGAAGAGGACATTGTTGGGTTTGTGACCCAAATTAGAGTAGATTTTTTTTTTTTAAATAAATTGTTTCTTTATATTTTACATGATTTTTATATTATTTCTTTATTCCACATTATTTACATATATATGTTATGCTATGTACCTATATATAGTGGTCTTTTCTTTCAATTTTGTTCAAGTAAGAGTTGCCAAGTTCTTGTATTTCTCTCCATATTATCGATTAACAAAGCATCGTGCTTCTGTGATTAACTTTCTTTATTAATTTCTTTACTTTTAAATCTGGTTTCTTGCTGCGATCTTGATTACTTTATATCGCATTATTAATCTCATTAACTACAATCCTTTCGGATCTAATAAGTAGTATCAGAGCTTGGTTCTTATTGGGATTGGCTGAGGTTTTTTAGAGATGATTGCTTTGACGTTTGATATTCAACAATTGGATCACACTACAAGATTTTCTTTGTGATAAGTAAAGATGAAAACTATTTTGTTTCAATTGGATTTGAATGATGTGTTGCTGGATTTTGAGGAGATGCCAACTAATTGGACAAAGAAGGGATTGGAAGGCTTTATTGTTGATTCATCTTCATCTATCTAATAATATTCTGCAGGATGTTTTGAAGGAGAAAAAAATAGTTGTTTTGTGGTTGAAACTAGAGCAGTTATGTATGACCAAGAGTCTTACCAGTAAACTGGTTTTAAAGCAGAAGTTGTATTCTCATCGCATGGCAGAAGGAGGTTGTTGGAAGTCCGTATTGTCGTGTTCAAGGAAATTGTCACGGATTTGGAGACGTTAGAGATTAAGTACGATGAAGAGGATCTTGCTTTGATCCTGTTATGTTCAGTATCTGGCTCTTATGCATCGTTTCGAGACACCATTTTGTATAGTCGGGATACTTTGATTATAGACGACGTCTATGATGCTTTGTATTCAAAAGAGAAGTTGAAGCATTTGGTTGGAGTTACATCAAGGGATGAGGAAGCTTTAGTATATTATGATGATCGATGGAGGGGTAGATCGAGGACGAATTTTAGCAATATGTACTGCTTCTATTGTAGGAGAAAAGGATACGTAAAGAAGGATTGTATAAGTTGCAGGCTAAAGGTGATTTAGCTGAAAATTATAGGGGGGCAATTCTATAATTTGGACGTGACTAATGTTGCCAAGAATTTTTCGAATGGCGATGATGTGCTATTGACCATGGTATCTGACGCGGAGTTTAAAACTGACAAGGAGTGGATTCTCGATTCGGCATGTTCGCATCATATGTGTTTCAATCGAAATTTCTTTCAAACATATGAGGCTATCAAACAATGTGGTGTTGTAATGGGAAACAATCAATTTTGTCGTATTGCTGGAATTTGTCAAGTCAGACTAAAGTTATAGGATGAGAGGATCAAAACAATTGATCAGGTTCGACATATTCCAGACCTAAAAAGCAATCTTATCTTGCTGAATACCCTGGAAGCAAAAGGGTATAAATTCTCTGGTAGAGATGGAGTTTTGAAAGTTCGAATGGGCGTCCAAGTTGTACTTGAGGGACGGAGAAAGTCTCAGTTGTACATCTTGCAGGGGAACACAGAACCAGTTGAGAGACATTTGGATAAGTTCAGTACCGTGGTGGATAGACAATTTGGTATAGTACCTCTTGTGGCGAGCTTTGAGTTGGTTAAGAGCACTGCTAGGGAAAGCGTTGGTGATTCCGCTTGGCCACCAATTTCAGCGGATACATTGTGTTCATTTGCTAGGGTTGGACTCATGGAGCGTAGATACTGTGGTATAAATAATGTCTTAGATGCTTTTGGGGACGTTGAAGCCGACAGTTCTAGCAATGGGCCTTTTAATCCAACATGTGTTATGGTTTCTGCTACAGGGTGTGTTTTGACCTTATTTGGTCAACACTAATTTCTCGGTGGAATTTTAGGAACCCATGAATTAGGTTCAAGTGTCGCTTGTGGACGCCTTGCAGAGGACGACGTTTGGTTTAGAGAGTTTTGGTTACTGTGTTGAGGAGATTGGCTATTTCGATGCAGACGGATTTGAAATCTTGAAGTTTCGTTTGTTGCACCAGAATGTGGGTCAAGGTGGAGATTGTTGGGTTTATGACCAAAATTAGGGTGAATTTATTTTTGTTGGGAAATAATTTGTTTCTTTATATTTCACGTGATTTTTATAGAAATATATTATTTTCTTATTTTATATTATTTCCATCTTTATAGTATGCCATGTACCTATAAATAGTGGTCTTTTATTTCAGTTTTGTTCAAACAAGGATTGCTGAGTTTTTGTATTTCTCTTCAAATTGTTGATAAATAAAACGTCGTACTTCTTCGATTAACTTTCTTTGTTAATTTCTTTATTTTTAAATCTTGTTTGTCGTTGCGATTTTCATTATTTCATATTGCGTCATAAATCTTATTCACTACAATCTTTCCGGGTCCAACAGATATAGATAATAAGGATACAGAAGAAGCGACTACGACATTAGTAGTAGCCGTAACTATTTTCTTCAAGCACCCGCATGCTGTTTATGGTCTCTATACTTAATTCCTGCAAACCTGGTCCTGTCTTTATCTGCCACTTGATTTTCACAACAAATATGATGAGAACAAGCTAAAAATCATTTGCATACAATCAAATAGAATTTTGTGGAGATCAATTACAATTCCTGATCTCAAGAGACTAAGAATTTCAGGCCCAATTTTTTGTTCTTTCTGAAGAAAATTTCCTTTATTTTCTTGGATTTTCTCCCCACCATTTAATACAAGTCTATTTATAATTGTGCAAGAATGCAACTTTTGTTGGAATTGGTTGAGTATAAAAATGGGAAAAATGATTTTCGTGTCAACGTCGGTCAAATATTCGGATTTGATCCGATAGTCAAATTACAAATGTACATAGACTAACATGTTATACTCGTCGAGTAGATCATCGCGGTATATTTGGAAGCTCAAAACTAATTCCGGATGAACGAAAAATTGCAGTCCAAAGTTGGAAGTAAAATAGAGGGAAAATTGGCCTAGATTTTTGCATAACTCTATCGTTCGCCAATCGCTCGAGTGACGGGCTAGCGATAGGCGGGCGAAAAATGTTCTGTTAAAATTTTAACGTTAACGTTCAAGTAAGACATCAGCGACAGGCCAGCGATAACAAGTGAATTTCGGATAAATGAAAACTTGCAATCCAAAATTGGAAGTAAAATAGAGGGAAAATTGGCCTAGATTTTAACTCTATCGTTCACCAATCGCTCGAGTGATGGGCCAGCGATAGGCGGGCGAAAAAGGTTCTGTTAAAATTTTAACTTTGATGTTCAAGCAAGAGGTCAGGGACAAGCTAGCGACAATAGGTGACGCTTTTGTTCATTAAGTTGCGAGGTTTGGTATGCAGCCATTCACCCACAACCTCTCATCCTCTATAAATAGGACACTTTAGGCGTCCATTTCTTCATCTCAATGATATGTAATCATAGCATAACATTATTTTTTTTTCTTTTTGTAACAACATTCTGCAGAAATTTGCATGAATTGTGGTTTTCCTTTGTTTATTTTAAAAGGAGTACAAAATTCGATTTTGATTCGTTGATCTTGTGTTTTGGAGTGTTACTAATACAAGTGATAATCGTTGTATCGTGAGAGTTGATTGCAATCATCCGTAGACACTGTTGTGGTGCATAATCAATTGCCTAGATTTTGCATCCATTTCATTTAGCGTTATTTCTGTTGAATATATTTTCTTTGTTTCCTCGCTGTTATTTTGTCCAATTTTTAGTAAAGTCGGTAAGTTTAATTTTGGTTTTCAAAAGTCATCACTCTATTAATTTTTCAACAATCTTAAATCGCTTTTTGAGTGATTACTTTATTCTATTCGGTTAAATTGATTTAAATTCGATTTAACATCTTCTGGGTATTCTCGAATTTGATTTGTGGTTTGTTTACAAAGATTTGCAAATCAATTACTAAATGTATTCGTTGACACAATAAAAGTGAGTCATTTATACGAGTAGAAAATATTCCAACAACAATTGATGTCCATATAGGATAATCTGCTATAACAAATAAATTTTAAATTCTTCAGAAGCATGGTTGATCAGTTGATTCAAAGGACTCCGTACCTTGAAAAAGAAAAGAACAAGAAAAAAAAATTAACCAAAAACTTCAGAAAAATAACATTAAAAAATTTGATTAATCAAATATTGAAAATATAGTTCTCGAAAAATCACAAGTGTTTGAAAATAATGAGATGTCAATAAATTATATGTTATCTCATAAATTATGACAACGAAACAATATTGTTATAAATAGTATTTTCGCCTTTAACATGACTATTGATATTATGCAAAATGAAAATCTTGAACTACAGTCTATTATATGGTGTAAATGTAGAAGTGGTTGGTCAAAGTGGAAAGAAGTCATACATGTAGAATTGGATTCATTAGAAAAATGAAAAGTGATTGGACATATAGTTTGAAACCTGAAAATGTAATCCATGTAGCTGACAAATAAGTTTTTGTACATAAGAGAAATGAAAATAATGAAATTATAAAATATAGAGCTGGACTCGTAGTTCAAGGTTTCTCACAAAGATCGAGAATTGATTATGAGAAAACATGTTTTCTCGCAATGAACAACATAACTTTTAAATTTTTAATTAGTTTGACTATGTCACAAAGGCTCGGTATGCACTTTTCAGATGTAGTAACTATTTATATGGATGAAACAATCTTGACACATTTGGTATCATCACCGTAGTAAATATTTTGTTGAAAGAGGGTCATAAAAATGACGATATTTGCCCATGTATTTTCATAAAGAAAATAAATATTGGATTTCCAATTTTGAAAGTTGATGTTGATGATTTAAATTTAATTGAAACTTCTGAAAAGTTCAACAAAAATGTGGATTATTTGAAAAATGAATTTAAGATGAAAGATTTGAAAAAAGTAAAATTTTGTCTCGAGTTGTAGATTGAACTTTTTCAGAATGATTATTTATTCATCGATCTACATATACAAAATAAATTTAAAACGTGTTTATATGGATAATGCTCATTTATTGGCTTTACTTATGGTTGTTTGATCACTTGTTGTGAAAAACATCCGCTTCGTCCATTTGAAGATGGTGAAAAGCTTTTTGGTCATCAAATACCATAGTTTAGTGCAATTGGAGCATTAATTTATCTTACAAATTATATTCGACTCGTATAGTTTTTTCTGTAAATCTCCTTATAAAATAACTCTACACCAACTCAAAGATATTGATTAGATATTAATTATATTTTTCGTTACTTAAAATGTATTATTGATTTTGTATTATTTTATTCTTAAAAGTTGGGATATGTTTTAGTAGGATATGCAGATACATACTATCTCTTTGACTCATATAAAATTAAATCACAAATAGGATATGTGTTTACACGTAGGGGAACAACTATATCATGGAGATATGTGAAGCAGTTCTTAGAAAAATGGCGATGTCGGTGTTCAATAAATTCGCTAAAGTAACAATGTTGATGACTTATTCACAAAAACTCTGTCGACATCTACATTCAAAAAATTGGTTCACGATATAAGAATGCGTCAACTCGAAGATTTTTAGTAATCAATATCAAGGGAAGTAGCTATACTCTTTTTCCATAAGGAAAAGTAACTGTACTTTTTTTCTCTCTCTTAGGTTTTATTTCACTGAGTTTTCTTAACAAAATTTTAATGAGACATAATTTATTTTTAATACTCCAAAATAACTGTAATTTTTTTCTTTCGTTTAACTTTTTTTCCTATTAAATTTTTATCAAACAAGGTTTTAATGAAACATTTTTTTTTAATGTGTCATTCAAATAAGAGTGTTGTAAATGGTAAGTTTATTAGTAAATGACAATTATATTCTTATAATCCTAGAAATTATTACCATTGTATCCATAATCATTCTTTATAGATACGGGACTTTAGTTCTCATTATAATACACACGAGTATACTGTCTTTTATTTTTATTTATTTTTATCTTTCTCTCTCTTTTCACAGTAAGAAAATTATTTCGTAGTCCGATTCAAAAAGTTACCTAATCCCAAGAAGAGAAGGGACTAAAACATTAACTCCATCATCATATATATTGACTAATCATGATACGCACTTTCCACTTTCTTCTCTTTATGCTCCCTAAACTCTCTCTCTAGGGTTTTATAAAGAAATACTCAGATAATTCTTCTTCTAAATATAAAAGTTGATTTTGATAAGCTTTGATGAAGAAGAATTTGTGATGAAAGAATCTATTGTAGGACAAAAATATTTTAATATCGAAGAAGCCGGCACAGGCGATCATCGATGTTGGCACCTACAAGCTTTCCTCGTATCCTTTTTCTAATGACTCACACTAGACTTGAGGTTTTCATGGCTTTAAAAGATGTTTAAGAAAAATAAATAGCTTTGAATAAGAGAAACAAAGGAACAATATAATTTTTGACTATTATTATGCCTTGTTTCACATCCTTTATTCGAAGAACTTTTTTACATAATAAAATATTCTGTATATAATTTAAAAATTTTATCTACTATCGTTTGTTCTTCTAAAAATATTATTCAAAATATTATTTTTTTCCAAATAAAGATTATCCGGGCTATATATTTAGGAAAATAGCAAAAGCACCATCTCACTCTGTCTTCATACCATGTTAAAAGACAAATATATCTCAACATTATGAACATTTCTGATTTATTTATATTTTTTTTCCATCAACTTTTCTTACTCAATTAAAGTCTACGCCCTATTTTTCTTTTATTTTATAATGTTAATTATGTATTAGATTTATAATTAAAATAATTGTAAACCAGAAACCCCCCCAAAGCCGCGCCACTAGTGACCGACCGTTGTAAAGGGGAACGCCACGTCATTCTCATTTTCCTATTCACGCTCCGTTAATCTCTGCATCACTTTAACGTACCCTTTTTTCGTTTTAAACAAAATTAATTTTAATTTCGATTATTAGTCCTTGTTTCATTTTGAAAAAAATTTGATTTTAACTTTGACTCAAAATTAATAATTAATTTTAATCGAGTTCACTAATTTTTAAACACCTATTTTCTCAACTTTTATTAAAATATACTAAAAATTTAATTTTAATCTCTATTAAACAGTGGCTAAAATTTAAAACAGTGTCATCTCGAGAAAATCTTGGATATAAATAAGAGAAAACCTTAATTTAGCAGAACCCGACATAAAAGGAATCTTGAAATGGAAAAAGAGAAAAAGGAAAGTTATTTAAGTGCATTCCAGAAGGAAAGTTGGGCACTGCAATTTATTAGTTTTCATTTTCTTTCGCACGTTAAGTCAAGTGCATTTATTTACTGTAATTAAAATTATATTATAGTAATTGCATTCTCTTCTTTTTCGTTTTTGCGGTTCTTTACTTTTTGGATATTAATGGTAAATTTTGGGGTACATTGTATCAAAATATGTTACCTTTTCGCACCATTGAATTTCATTGATATGGCGGAAATTGGGTTTTCTTCTACATTAGTTACTGTCTAAGCGTTGTTCTTCACCGACGGTAAAATCTCTTTGGCGTCTGACAAAGACTGGAGTGAAGAAGAAGAGTAAAAAGTAACTGGTTTTATCAACTTATATTAAAAAATTATACGTTCGGTTTCTCTTTTACTTCAATTTTGGGTGCATTTTATCTTTCATCAAAAAGTTATGATCTTTAACATTGATTCTCTGTGATTATGTGTCGTGTGTGACTCTATGCGTTACGTATTAGTTGTGCTCTTACAGATTGCGTTCTGATCTTTTTCTTTGTTAGTCCCTCTTAGTGTTTACGTTTGCCTGTTGATCCAAATAATCTTCATATTCTCTGGTCTGGAATGAAATTTACAACTTTTTATGATATAAATTATTAATTATAGTTGATACAGTTAATTTATAATGAAATTCACAGGGGAAGATATACTGTTGATTTGCAATGTCGAAACAGAGATTTGGTGCACGGAATTCGGGATTACCTTCAGTATTTCAATTTCAGAGTGGGCATATGCCATCTGGGGTGGTGCCAGTTTCACGAGCTGTAAATGTAGGCAAAGTCTTAGACAGCCCAGCAGGATCTGACATGGATATGGGGTCTGATTCTGATGACGAGTTCAGTGGTGCACGACATTCACTTGAAACATCTCCGCAAGACAACAAAATTCCCAATGGTGGCGCTATATACAAAAATTCATTGAATGGGCGTATGGATAATGCTATCAGTCACAGGAATCACATGGAGAGTCCAAGAGGGCGAGGTGGTAGATTTCCAGTGGGATGCCCAGATTCTGTCTATGACGAACCACCAGACTCCTTAAGAAGCTCAGAAGTGAATTCTACGCCAACCAGGAAAGCATACGTGCCAGATGCTTACAGCTCTCGTGTCAATTTGCAGCCAAATGAAGAGGTAAGAGCTTCAAAACTGTGCTCTTATGTAGTAGGCGTGAGTAAGACATACTTGAAAGATTGTTGTTCTTAATTTTTTGGGAAATGCAGCTGATGGGGCTTTATGCCAGATTTAACTATGCATGGACTTCCAACTTGTTTGCATCGTTGCTTACATAAAGTGCAGAAAATGTTGAATCTGTTTCGCCTCTCTTAATCTGATATGGACTAATGAGGTGTTCGTGGAGCACTATTGTCATTCATTCCCAGCTAGAATGTTTTAAATTTGATGTTTGTATTGCTTTATCAAATATTATGCTCGACTGTTTTATGAACCTTCAAAGTCGTAATAATCTATGATCTGAAATTTTATGGCTAGGCTCTGAGACATTTCATTTTATAACCCCCTTTCCTCATGCACTACAAATTGTTTGCTCCTCGTTGGTGCTTTCTTGATGAGGAGGTTCAGGATATTATTTCCATTTTGCCAATAAGTTGCACAATTGTATGTTGGTTGTGTACTGATTTGCTCAAATATTTGTCATTTAATCTCTTCAAAAACCCTTGTCAATTTAATCTCCTAAAGAACCACTGTAAGATGTTTAGTCCTTTTTCCCTTGGATTTTTGGTTAAATCAACAAATTTATTGTCAAATGGAGTTAGTAATTGTAGACTAACATGATAAACCTCATTTACATCTTCATCTGTTGTTATTTGTTGTCATTATCTATTAGTATTCCTAATGTCACAATTATAGTTAGCTGCAACTACTGTTTCAAGTACATCCTAATACTATTTATTCTCTCTATTGTTATCAACACAGGTGAGTTAACAGTGACATACTGTTCAGATTTTATTAAATACTCTATGATTGCAGAATATCTGCAGTGTGCCAATGAGTTAATGGTGAGATACTGTTCAGTTTTTCTTACATACTCCATGGTTGCAGGATTTCTGCAGTCTGCCATTGCAGAGTAAGAAGTTCTATGATGACGGTTTTGCCAGTGCACCCCCACTGACTGCTTCTTTTCGGCACACTAATCAAGTTGCTGAAAAACCTGTGTCATCTGGAGATAATATTGCCACCTTTTCGACATCCGGTGGTTCTGCAACTGGGATCGAACATAACGCCTACAAGGGTACGCCTTTGGGTGCAACAGAAGTCAGTACTCCTGAACCATCAGTAAGGTACTGGAATGTCTGTGTTTGTAAATGTTCCTTACAGCCCCACCCAGACCAGGTTAATTGCTTATAGCCTTACTTTGATGAAATAAAGTTAACGCCTGTGGTATTGCACAGGACTGCGGCTGCATCTTCTCATTGTTTACCTCCTCAATATCCTACATTTCACGCAAGGTGCGTTTCAATTCTATTGGTCATGTATTAGGCTGTATTATTCCGTGATATATCCCACACTTTGGTCCTAAAAAAATCTTTAGTTCCCAGTTCTCTTTATGGTCTATTTGAAACAAAACATCTACTATTGCTATATAATGTTCACCATCCAAACTGGATACAGTGGGCTAGGTTATTGGTACGGTGTTATATCCTATGAGGCGTGTGTTCGGCTATGCCTTCACTCTTGGGCGAAGGGCTGCATGGAAGCTCCCGAGTTTCTGGAAAATGAATGTGCACTGCTGAGGGATGCTTTTGGGTGAGATCCTTACGGATGTTTTCAATCTCTCTATATGGTTATTTTGTGGCATTACGGGGCATTTGTTGCATGATAATTGGATTTTATTATCGATTTTTCTACCTTGTTCTCTCTTGTCTTTTTAAAGAAAGAATTGTGCTCATTTGCTGCATTACATGCCTGGAGTCTATGTTGCTGTTTTAGAAGTTTGACGTTTTCATCGATCATATCTGATGAATTTCATCTAATTTTAAAGTTGGCAAGAAGCATTACGAGGACACAAAAATTATGCTGTGTGTTCCCTTTCAAAGACCATTAGTTCTTAGCATCTTATGCTCAGAAACATAAATTTTCTTGAATATTCTGATTTTCATACTTCTAGTGTAAGATATGTTTTACAAATTTCTTCTTGTATCTGTAGGTTGAAACACGCATTGTTACAATCAGAGGAAGAAATCTTGAGAAAAGACTCTTCAGAACTTGTCAGCGAAGGAGCTTCTGTAAAAATGAAGAAAACCATTGGCAAGATTAAAGTTCAAGGTTCTTATAGATGCTTCTTGAAAGAAAAATTTCATGACTAAATGTGCACATTGTGTATATAAGATCTCTTTAATGCTGATTACTTTGCAGTGCGAAGAGTGAAAATGGGGCTGGACCCACCTACAGGCTGCACATTTTCATCTTTAAAGTCATCATCTATTGTAAAGCTGGAATCATTTCAGTGTCGGTTATCCAACGTAAAATCAATCCTCTCTTCTGAGAGGAGAGTGCTGCGAAAAGCACATGTGACCCCAAGAGTTCCTATTGATGGATCATTTTTACAGCAAAGTATGACATATGTAGTTGTTGGAACTCGCCGGTATATGAAAGAAGTTCCTGAGCTCATTAAAATTGGTGTCAATGCTTGGCGCCACAGTTCTTCATCATATGAAGTTGTGCAAGGTATGTATGCAATTTGTGTCGGAAGAATCCTGCAACTGATGGGTTATAACTTTTGATTTTCATCCTTAATTCGGTATCCTTCCTCATGGTTGGTATAAAGTTTAATATAAATTTCTGATGTGCTCTATTTTGTACTGTATTTTCTTATAATTTTTAATATACACTGTTTGCCTCTTAAAAACCTTTTTAAATTCGTTTTTAAATTCGAAAAACTTCATGAATTTATTTGGGAAATAAAAATGTTTATGCTACTTTGACTTCTTCGCTAAGCAACATTTGATGATAAAGGCGGAGTTCAAGTGGTTTAGTGTTCATGCCTCTAATGTACTTGTTTGACTAAAGTGGTGAAATGTAATTTAGAATACTTGAAGAGTATATTACATTTACATCTGCATGGCACAAAATTAGCTGGAAGTGGTAGAACTGTTTCAGACCCAATCCAGGCATTCTGGTTGAGGTTTCACCATGAAACTCAGAACCTGACCAACTTTTTTCTTTCTTCATATTTCTACTTATTAAACTTTAACAGTAGATAATCAAATTATACACCCTCAGTCACTGCCTAACATAGTCCATCTTTTAAGCTTCAATTCCCGAAAGAACTGAATTAGACTGGGCGACTGGTTCTATACTAAAGAATTGGAATTATGACCAGCTCGATCCATTTCTTACAAGAATTACCGTTCCTATCCTAATATTATTTTTGGAGAAAAGCAGATGGTTTGGGAATTTTTGGTTATTGATATGCGCATGTTGGGTCGTTATTTAACACATGAGATGAATCTGTGTTTTATTTCTACGAGGACACGCATCTTAGACTTAAAAAAAAAAAAAAAATCCTATTTTCCATTTTATCTTGCTAAACGGAATTTTAATTCTTGTTGACAGAATCATATTCCTGTTTATTGAGGTTAAAAAGTTCGCCCGAGGAGGATGCAGTGAGAATGCAGCCAGGATCTGGTGAAACTCATGTTTTGTATGTCATCTTTTACTCTATAACCTAGTTATTTGTTCAATCTCATAGGCATGGATGGTTAAAAATTCTTGCCATTTGAATACAGCTTGCCAGAAGGGCTTGGAGATGATCTGATAATTGAAGTCCACGATTCGAAGGGAAATAATTTTGGACACGTTGTAGTTCAGGTAGCTGATATTGCTGAAGAATTGGTATGATATTCATCTCTTTTTGACCACCTTTGATTGCAAAAACTTTTGCATGCTCAGAATGATTACATTTGTGGGTTCGATGCAGGGAGAGAGGCTCCGTTCATGGCCTATATATCATGAGCCCGAACATGAACTGGTTGGGAAATTACAGCTGAATTTAAATTATTCAACGACTCCCACTGAAAACAGTAACAAGGTAATGTCACTCTGTAGACAAGATTTAACTCCCTGTGTATTTGAATCAGACTTAATTTGCTCATTCTATGTCTGGTTGTCTCAAAATTACTGACCGACGTCCCAGCTGTCCTAGGTCTACCTTATTCTATGTTTTTTCTTCAGGCACAATCACAAATTGCTTCTGATTGCGCATAATTTTCGTCTTTAAATGTGTATGTCCAAATTATCTAATGATTTTATTATTCAACCCTTACATTTTACCAAGTCCAATATTATCCTCTGTTTAATCAACCTAATTGCATGTTTGGCATAGCTTAAATTATAGTTTAACCTAGTCAATCATGCTTTCTATCTACACATTTAGTAGGATCCACAATTACTACACACTTAATTAACTATACATTCCTTAGGACCCACACAACTTATAATCGCATATATGCTATGAATGCTTTCAGTTTCAATCAATTCGTTTATAAAATTTTAATTAAATAAAGAAGTCCAGTTAAATTATGGTGTAGCTACTTCATAAAATTTCTTTTCAAAAGCTTTGGGAGAGTGATACTGAATGAGTGAGATGGTATTCTGCTTCTCTGTTCCTTATCTTGCCAAATGAGGAAGATTCTTTTTTCCGGAAACATGACCACTGTTCTTGTTAATGCTGTTACATCTACAAAGTTTTTGATACATGTGTGATGCTCAACATGGATAGGATTGTTCAGATACTGAGTTTAGCATAAACTTTGGCAATTTTAGTGAAAATCATATTGGCAGGAATAAGTAGTTTATATTAGATTGGAAGAGGTAAATATATAACTTATACCATTGCACTCATTGACTCAATGTAAAAAAATATATTAACGAGCAATTTCATTTTTTTTTCCTGTGGAAATGACTTCGTAATTATGATGTTTTGCAGCAGAATCAATTTAAGCTGGTGGATTATTAATAGTTATGAACTTTTTGGCAATCAAATTCATATATTTATATTAAAACTTCCGTTGCATTGTAGGATGACATGAAAGAGAAGATCCCATGTGTTTTAGTTTTAACATTTCCTGATACTTATTTATCAGAATAATCAATAGATATCCTTTGGTGTTTTTCACTTGTCTGTATTATCTTGGTGTTATTATTGACACATAAGAGTGTTGAATATTTTATGGAACGTGGAATGTGCGTATTATTTGTTATTTTATCTTATATATAAGCTAAAATGTATGAAGAAATTTTTCTACTTAATTTTTATGCACGTATATTTTCATTGATACATGAATGTCACAGTGTGCATCTGTCGCGGAGACAATTGCATATGATTGTGTTCTGGAGGCAGCAATGAAAGTGCAACAGTTTCAGCAGAGAAACTTGTTGCTACATGGTTCTTGGAGATGGTTGATAACAGAATTTGCGTCTTACTATGGAGTTTCAGATGCATACACGAAATTGAGGTACCACAGAAGTGTGAAACTGGTTTACTGGAAGAATAAATTGCCCAGATTATCATTGTTGTTATACGTAATATATTTTATTGAAATCCCACGTCTTTGCAGATATCTTTCGTACATTATGGATGTTGCCACACCAACTTCAGACTGTCTGGAGTTGGTTTATGATTTGCTTCTACCTGTTGTTATGAAAGGCAAAACTGAACATAGATTGAGTCACCAAGAGGTAGGAGGAATCCAATGTATTTTCATATGTGCACTTGAAGATTATCTTGTGGTGTCGTGGCCTGCTGGTTCTGATGAATTTTAGGAAATGACTCATTTCCCAATCTCGATTGTTGGCCTTTTTCTTTCCATGGAACTCTGTTGTTTTATAGATATTAGTCTTGATAACTGCTGTAACATTTTCTTCAGTTTTTCTTGAAATTTAAGTCAATCTCAAGTAGATTTAAGCAGTACTTGGGGACGTGACTTCCCTAGTAGAGACATCATCTGTAAGAGTTTGGTAATTCCTGCAATACTGAATATCATAGCCTGTCAGAAAAAATAAACAAAGGAAGTTAGAACATTGTGTAGTTCTAAATAGTATCATTTTCTTATGGAATGATACGTACCTACCTCCCTACTATATATGGACTATATATGAATTATAAAGGTTTGCAATTTATGAAAGTTATGAAAGGTTTTTCTCTGTCTCTCTTAGCATTTATGAAGTATCTGTCCCCATGTCTCTTTTAGATATGTATTATCCTTGTGGGAACTAAGAAAAGTATTTTCAGCCAGAAAGTTAAGTTAATATGGTCTTTTGGTGAGGTCTAAGTCTAAGGTGATGTGCGCTTTTGGTATTTCCCACAAGGTACTCAACCTGAACGTAATTCATCGCTGGATATAATTTATTTTAAAATCAGTGCATAATGGTTGAAGCTCTTATAATCTTTTTGTTTCTTATCTAGTCTTCTATTGCATTACCTAATCACACATCTTCTTTTTTCCCTTTTTTTCTTTCTGAGTTGTCATCACCCAATATATCTAGTTTCTGGTGATGGCAACTTCAGGCTTCATTACCATATTTACAATTTTGAATGCGTCCTGACCAGGGTCGTATTCTGGGGGAAGTTTCTGATCAAATTGAGCAGATATTTAGTTTGGTTTTTGAGAATTACAAGTCACTTGATGAGTCATCATCATCTGGTATTGTCGATGCGTTCAGACCTGCTACAGGACTGGTGGCTCCTGCTCTTACTCCTGCTTTGAAACTGTACAAGCTTCTGCATGACATACTTTCTTCTGAGGCACAATTGAAATTATGCAGATATTTTCAGGTGAGCAAGCTTCTTAAGCTCAACTCAATCCCTTCTACCGACTTCTTTCAACTTTTTAACGGGCTAACTTTTATGCAGAATGCTGCAAAGAAGAGGTCCAGGATGCACTTGGAAGAATCAGATGACTTGGTCTCCAGCAATAACGAAAACTTATTGATGGATCCTGTGGCTCTTTCTACTGCTTACAAGAAAATGAAATCACTTTGTTTGAACATTCAAAATGAGATTTTGACTGACATTGAAATCCATAAACAACATCTTCTACCTAGGTAATTTGTTTCCTTTGGTAATAGTGTTTGTGATTGTGTGCTATTTATGTACAATCAGAATTAAGGACCAGAAGTTATTGACACTGGGTATTTTCAACACTTTTGATTCATTTTTTCCTTTCCTCTAGTAATTTCACTTCTTCATATAGGCGTTATTCTTGTGACTAATAGAGGGTTTGAATTTAACCTGTACACATTTCCGCATTGCAACACATTGCTTATGTTTGCTAAGGATGGTTTTCTTTTAATTAGGTTTACTGGCAGCAGCAGGAAAACACGCTGTAATTTTAGTTTACTATAACGAACAACCAGTTTATCACACCAAATGCTAAGCTTGCGGATAGATACAAATATATGCTTTTGACATGTTTGCATAGATTAGCTGATACACAGATAAATGAAAGAAGAAAGTAAAATGTTAGATATATCAGTAGAATGGTAATTTGTAAAACACATTTTTAGTTCATTATGAAGCATTGTGTCAATTCTTATTCAGCATTCATTATGCAACAGTGTTCCAAATCCTTACTTCTCTAAATCATATAATTGATCATTAACTATCAATTCTTAATAATGATTAGTGTTCTGTGATTTTGTGTAGTTTCATGGACCTTCCCAACCTATCTTCATCCATATATAGTACAGAGCTCCATAGTAGATTGCGGGCATTTCTTGTTTCATGCCCTCCAGCCGGACCATCACCTCCTGTTGTAGAACTTGTTATAGCAACTGCTGATTTTCAAAGGAATCTTGCTTTGTGGAATATCAGGTATTGATCATAATTCATTTTATTTTCTTCTTGTACTCACCCATGTTTATATTTTACTTAATGGATTTTTGCAGTCCGATCAAAGGCGGAGTTGATGCAAAGGAGTTGTTCCACTTATATATACGTGTCTGGATCCAGGAGAAGCGTCTTGCAATGCTTGAATCTTGCAAGCTCGATAAGGTACGACATTAACTCTTTATTTACTTCAGAGAGTAGTTGTGTAGTTTATGATTCACTCATAGATGAATTATTTGTCTTGATTGACCGATTGCACTATCCTGGTCACTCTAACCACCCATTACTGGAAGCTGTCATCTTGAATAGTAATGCCATCATGGTTGAATGTTGGCCCTTGGTGTCCTCTTTTATTTTTATATTTTATATCCATAGATGACCAACCTGTTTGAAATGTTCATGCACTCTGGCGTCACTGCAAAAATTGATGTCATTTGTTTCTTGTTTCTTTTCCTTGATAGATAGGAAAATTTTATTGTGTGCATCATCTGCCCTCATCAATGCTATTTGCCTCTTGCATGTTCCCTTTGCTCATGCAAACAGTGCGAACAGATATTAAAATTAACATTCTGCTCTTAGAAAATAGTATGTTAATATATAGATAAAGGCCATTCTCTTTTATGCAAAATGGCTTTTTATACAGGGATCAAATAACAGCAGTTTTCACTGATCCAATATAGCCACTAATCTTAGGCTGTTAATCGTTATAAATTACAGTTGTAGAATATCTGCACATTAGTTTTTCATTTCTTTCACCAAGTTTGTAGAGAGAAGCTATCCATGGTTTAAATGCCTAATTATTAAATAACATATCTTGGATTCTGTGTACCTACAGCTCATTTGTTTACTTGGGAAAGCTTCTACATCATGGCTACATTTATACATACTCTAATTTCTTTTTTCGGTAGAATAAGAGGGAATTATACACACTATTGGAAAAAAGGTTGAAACTTATGGCTATATTTTTATACGTAGGATAGCTTTTCTTTCTTCTGTAAATAAGAGGGAACTACACATTAAGTAATCAATATTGAAATAAGTTTTAGACAACATGTTAGTTCTCACTAGACTTCAACTAATGCCAGGTAAAGTGGTCCAGCTCCATACATGATATATTCAACATTGAAATAAGTTTGAGACTTTGTGTTGCTTTTGATTCTCACTAGTTGTGTACTGCAGGTGAAGTGGTCCAGCTACCATGCAGCAAACTCCACGACTCCTTTCATTGATGACATCTATGATCAGCTGAAGGAGACACTCAAAGAATATGATGTCATTATCAGTCATTGGCCGGAATATACTTTTGCATTGGAAAGCGTATGTACAGTTCTTTCTCATTTTATTCTTCACTTTTTTTCCCTCAATTGCGTTTTCTATTATCACCGGAACTTTGTTCAAGTGATACTTTTATGTGAAAGGATTTCCTTTTCTGCATTGCAATTCTTGTGCATTCTCTCTTCCATTCTTCTTCTTCTTCTTCTTTTTTTTCCCTTATATGCATTCTGTTTGTATCTTTCGAAAGGCCATAGCAGATGTTGAGAAGGCAGTAGTTGAAAGCTTGGAGAAGCAGTTTGCTGAAGTTTTATCTCCATTAAAAGAGAACACAATGCCCATGAAATTAGGTCTGAAATATGTTCAGAAATTTACGAAGGGTAATTCTACACCTTATGTCACCCCCAATGAGGTACAATGAGTTTGTCTTTTTGCAAAACAGTGATTTACTCTTATTCCCTCCCATGCAAACAATTATCGTATTTATTTATTTATTTTTCAGTTGGGAATCCTTCTGAACTCCATGAAGAGGATGCTTGATGTTCTGCGGCCCCCGATAGAAGAAAAACTGAAATTGTGGGGCTCCTGCATCCCTGAAAGTGGGAATGCGGTCCCAGGAGAGTCTCTCAGTGAAGTAACAGTGATGATTAGAACCAAATTCAGAGCTTATTTGCAAGCAGTCATGGATAAACTTGTGGAAAATGTAGGTATTCTTGCGGGAATAATTATATTGACACACTTCATTTCGGTACTTCTCTAAGTATTGCAAGACATGACAAATGGTAATCGAATTAACTGTAGATATATATAGACTACAGATAATAATATGCCTTTGTTGATTGATTTGAAAAGATATATACGTAAATCATCAGCTTTAACAGCATATTCTCTTTTTTTTGACAGCGCTAAGGTTTCATTGTTTTCTACCTTTTTCTTTATGTGTAGACGAAACTGCAGCGTGCTACAAACTTGAAGAAGTTAATCCAAGATGTAAAGGAAAATGAATTAGAGTCCAATTTACGGCATAGGATGCAGCCTTTGAAGGATTTGCTGTCCAATACTATTAATCAACTCCACACTATACTTGAAACTCAAGTGTTTGTAATAATGTGCCGAGGTTTCTGGGATCGGATGGGTCAGGTATACTACTGTTAAAGCATACTTGCATTTTCTTCTTTATTAATAGCACATTTTATACGATTCTTGCATTAATTTCAGGACGTGCTAAGGTTTCTGGAGGATAGAAAGGAAAACAGATCCTGGTATAAAGCGTCGCGAGTGGCAGTAACTGTAAGTTCCACTGATCTTATGCAGAATTTTCCCAATGTTCTCATTTGCTGAATGAGGGATTTTTCTTTTCCTTTTCTATATATATTGGTAAATTATCAATATTTTCTATGTTGGTATTTACGTCTTTTTCAGGTCTTGGATGATACATTTGCTTCACAAATGCAACAGTTGCTTGGCAATGCACTAGAGGAGAAGGACCTGGAACCACCTCGGTCTATCCTAGAAGTGCGATCGATGCTATGTAAGGATGCTGTGAACCACAAGGATAACGACTACTACTACTGAAGTAACTGTACATACAGATGTATGGATACGGTGATGAGCTTTTGCCACTCCGTGGAGGGTGAAAAGTAGCCAGAGAGTCGAAGTGAATGGATAATATTTTTGCATGATCAAAGCCTGATAAAGGAGGGATTTGCTCTATTTTAGAGAGAGAGCAATTCTGGAGCTGCAGAAAGACCAATTCTCATGGTCTCCATGGTATCTGTCTTGTCTTGAATTTCAGCACACAATGCAATTCTCTACTAGTAAACTGTGTCTTCTCAACTCTTATGGCGAATCATGATAGCAAAATATTTCTTTCGTATAAAATACGTCGGTTTTTTTGCTTGTCTGCTTCAGTTAATAACTTAGTGCCTGTTTAACAGCCATTAATTTATTTTATGGTTTGTTATAGGATCATTTTCAACCATATTTTCACACAATAAAATATTTTACATGTATACAAAATTTGTTCTTTAGTTTTTAATCAAACATTCTCTTAAAAATCACTATTCAAAATTCCTTTCTATTTTTTTTTAATTTTTTATTTAACAATAATGATTGTCATACTGACAGGCTCTTAACATTCACAAGTTCAATGTTCAGATGCATGTAAAGGGTTAGCCTCTTTAAAATTTAACTAAATCATACACGAGTGAAAATTGGGATACAGTCAAATCAACTCAACTTGAGCACGTTTACAATGAAAATACATAGTAGTCTCTTGTGTTTAGGAATGACAATTAAGCTTGTCGACTCGAGCTGCCAATGGCTCGGCTTAGCTTGAGGCTCAGGGCGCGTCTTGGGGTATCAGGCCAAGCACTAACTGGCCCGTGTGATTTCCCAGCTTGGGCTCACAGGCTAAAAAAAAGGAAAAAAAAAAAAAGAAAAGGAAATTAAAGACACCAATAAGCAGCATGCTGCTGCTTTTTTAAGGCGACACTCGCAATGTGTTGCCTTTTTTACATAGCACAGTGTCGCCTTTATTTAATAATAATAAAAGGATCTCGGCTCGGTAAGGCCCTGAGTCGAAAGCTTGGGCAGAGCCTTGATTTCTTGGCCGAGCGAAAGTTCGGCTTGAGCTCGCAAAAAAGTTCGGAACATTTTACTCGAGTCGAGCTCGAACCTAATGATATACAAATCATGCATTAACCATTTGGTATTGGTTGATGTACCTGCACAAAAACAAAAGATTTAAAGAAAATGACACCGACAGTGAAATATCACAGGAAGGATTTAAAGTGATTTTGAAATTTCAAGTTCTTTGAATTTGACAATTGAATTATTTGTACATGAAACGGCAGGCAGGGTCCACACGCAAATGTCCAGCCCTACCTAACATATCGGGCATGTGCTAGGCGCGCGCATCGGCTCTTCTTCGTATTCACCTAACGTTAGAATAACCTCTATAGTTAGTAGTACTTAGGTTTCAATAATTTGGGTATTACTATAAATTGTGAATAATTAGTTGCAGAGATTCACTTTCAATGCATTTGGAAAGTATTTATTTATAAATGATAAATAAATATTTAATTTATAAACATGAGCCAAATATAGATTTATTATTTTTGTTGACGACGTCGGCAAAATAGGTTCACAACTCCTCAAAATCGTGTTTTGTGTCTATCATTGCATTTGTGAGATTACAAGAAGTCGGTGTCTGCTATATGCTGTTGAAGTGTGAGTCGTTTCAATACGGAGCTAATAAGACTTTTATTCGTCAACAACTTTTGTGTAGTATAATGTTTGCGTGTTGTGGTGATTAAGCCAAGTCAATAATTAATTTTAACTACATATTTCATATGATAAATAACTTTTCAACAACACAATTCATCAATTTTATCAAAATCAACTAAGGAGAAAAATTTAAATAAAAATTAAACACAATTAAAAAAAACATATAATCAATATGATAACTTTTAGTTAGTTATGCCTATTGATTTTGAAGTTAAATATTCTTGATTTGAATTAATAATAGCATGATCTCATTTGTACATTATAAGTGTACAACTTATCTAAAGCACGTAAAATAAAACGTCACGTAACATATCAAATCAAAATATTAAAAAATTGCTTCAATCTCAGGTAGTCCTTAACTGCATAATCCAATCTTTATTAATAAATAAACTAAAACACAACATAATAAATGTTGCAATTAAACTTTTTGACACGTTCCTTTCTTCTTCCCAATTCTAAGGAATTATGTAATTAAATTAAAAATAATATATATATATATATATATATATATATATATTCTTTGATA